GGCCGCTCCTGGCTTCTGCTGAGGTCTCCTAGCACATGTCATGGGGACTGGAAGCACAGGACCAGCTGCCATCGTGCCAGCACTGGAGGGACCTCACAAGTGCAGCAGGGACAGCAGGACCCTACTTTGCTCCCCAGGTGCCAGTAGACATCCTCATCAAAGAGGTGCCACAGCAGAAACACCAGTCTCTCCACAGCCTCTCTAGTAGATAGCAGCTACGAGGAGCTGACCTCCTTCTCTCACCTGCCTTGATTTGCCCCGGTTCTGTCCTGAGTGTATTTCCACATCCCGGTCTCCTTCCCTGCACCTTTTTCCTACCTTTCTGAAGAGTATTACTGGGAAAGGATTGGCCACCAAACTTTGTTTAGGGCTTTGGAGGAGTTGTGGGGGAGCTGAGGAGGGCCACAGCCTCCAAGCCCAGGAGCAAGAAGAAACAGGGAATATACGCTGGAAAACTCATTCTGGTGTGCTTGAGATGCATGCCTTGGGGGGGATCCAAACGGCAGCCACCACGTAGGAAATGAACGGCTGCTGTTTGGATGTATGAGGCCCCCCCGAGGGGCAGCTGAGAGGACCCGCACAGGCTGCGGCGTGGCAGCTGGCAAGGAGCTCGCCACTGGGGTCCTGGCTGCCTTGCACCCATGGGGTGGGTTTTGGTGGCCAGGTTTGGTAGCACCCATGAGTGGCCCATGTGTTTGACCACCTCGGCTCTGGCTTATATCTTGCTAAAGCGCTGCCTTGTCCTCAGCACCGGCGTCCCTGCAACGCCGAGTTGTCTCTGTGCTGAAATATACCACCACCCTACAGGATTGTAAGGGTAGATAGAAGACATATTGTGTGTAGAAGTGGCGTGACCTCTAATTTCTGATTTGAATTGCTTGATAGAAGATAAACTTGCTGGTGAATAATGGAAAGAAGTCTTTAATTGCTGTAAAGGACATGTGTACACACTGTCAGTACCCAAATTAATTCAATTACAGTTTCTACTGTTGTAGAAGTAGTGCGTTTATTTTAGAATACAGTGAGAATTAAATGGCAATCGCTAATGTTTCTGAGCAGTTGCTGGTACAATATCAGCACAAAACATTGAGTATCATGTGAAGGAAAATGCCCAAATGTGTGGTTTTGTTTCTTTTCTCATTTCAATAGTGTACTAACTTCCAGTGGAAAAATAATCAAAATGTGCAACTATCTTGCAATGTTTTGGGGACAGATTTTCATTGCTCTGATTTAGAGAGAAATTAGAATAATCTATTTAAAAAATTATCTGTATTTCTGTCTCTGTCCCCTCCCCAACCCTGCCACCGCATTTCCCCATTCCTGGGCAGGAAGCTACAGATGTTGTTTTCACAAAACTTTGTCAAGACTATTTTAAATGAAAACACTTTTATTTTTCTTAGTGTCATTCAACACAAAGTGAGTTTGTTGGCTCGCTCAGTTTCTGACTGGGCAAATATCCACAGTGTTTTTTGAAATAATTCATGGCTGATACCATCCCTGAAGCCATTCGTTTGAAGGCTCCCCGGAGAGCAGCCTGAGCTCTTGCTTAACCAAGGTTGCCTCCACAGCTGGGTCCTTTAGGTTTGCATCTTCATGGTTTGGATGAAGCAGCTTGAGAAAAACACTGGTCCCGTACATGAGACTTTGTGCCCTCGCTGCCAGGAAAATAACAGAGTTTCTGTTGTGGTTTGCTGGTACTTGATCAGCAGGTGGGAAAGATATATGGCTCCTAAATTGTCTTTACATTCCAAATGCAATTGAGATTTGGCCAGCTAGATCAGGTAAAAAGATTTCCTTTGTGGCTGGGAATATGTGTCAGATAGCATCTGTAGTATGCTGCGTTAAAATAATTCTGCTGAGAGGAGTTTTAGGTCTTGTTACAGTCAGTATCCCAGTGATGCAAGTCTAAATGCTGTCACCTGTGACTTCCACGTTTCTTATGATAAAGCATTTAAAAATAAAAAATCTAGCTGCTCACCTACTTCCAAAAGCTTGTTTCTGTATGTTTGTCAAACACTGCATGTATACCTTATGATTTAGGTTAAGGTGCCTGCGTAATTTGTGCCTGCAGCTGCTAGTGTTTGCTTCTTAAAGCTGTGCACATTCAAAAAAAATTGAATTAATTAAAAGTTTAATTAGTCAAGATTTAAATTAATTCAAGTGTGAAATATTTCTCACGGGGCACGGATGTTAGGAACTGGCCAACGCCAAGGGAAGGAGCAAATTAAATGGGTAGGTATGCGGCGTTATTTGACCTGCATCCACGTAAACCTGTCTTTAGCAACGTTTTAAGCACACGTTCTGTAATTGCTTGTGTTCCTTCAGTTGTTGGTTTGGCCCTTTGAAAATCTCTCTCTCTGTTTTAGTTTGCTTTTATATGAAGGGATGACAATATCCAATGATCAGTACTGAAGCATTAGCCAGTTGACCAGCGCTGCAGTTCTCCAGCGATATGGCTTAGGCTTGTGACAGGACAAGGGGAGGTGTTTCCCCCAGACCCCCTCTCGTATCTGGGCCATCTGCCTCTGGTTGCCCCACAGCCTCCCCTCTCACTCTGTACAAATTATCTGAGGATGTGTGTTTTCCGAAGGCTTATTTTGAGGACTGATACTTTTAAAAGAATGAGATTGCATGCCTGAAAGTAGGTTAGCTTGTTTAGAGTCTTAATGATGATTGTAAATAGCATGTGTGATTTTTTGCAAACAGTTTTCGTCTAAAGCATAAAAGCTTTTGACAAGACCTATTTAATTTCTTTGCAAAAATACAATTTCAGGTGGATGGTCCAGTGGCTAAGAAACAACTGCGGATATCCGTATCTAGACTGTGATACTAATTTTTTTTCTTGAACTATTTGTGGTTTGGTTTTTTGTTGTGTCATGCAAGGGGGATCTTGTTTTGCTTAACGTGGCAAACTTCACCTGGTAATAATTAAACTTTGGCTTTGTTTAAACAGTTTTGAGTTTTACTCAAAGGCATAGGAACAAGCAGGTTATAATCTGCAGAAATCATGTAAAATAACTTTTCTCATGCCTTAGTCATTCTTCTGACTCCATTTAACTTCAAAGGTAGCTTTGTATGTAGGCTGTGAAAGACTTGGCCTGGTACCAGCCACAATAAGCACAGAACTCTGTTGGTACATTCACTTCGTGCTTTTGCCAAGATCCATCAAAAGACAGAGATAACTTTCTGTGTGTACTTCATAACATCCAGGGAAATGCCTGAAAGAGGTTATCAGATGAGCATTACCAAATGTTACTATAATCAATCAAAAAGGTGTTTCACTGCCTGTAACTCAATATTAAGGGTCAGCATCCTAGCATCTGAGCATTTAGGATATGGCAATATAGAAATTAAATATGGACTATCCTAGATAGTGTTCCTGGTGAGTATTTTGTTACTATTGATCATGAGGCCTACATTATTCAGTATGAGAGGGAGAGAGAGATGCTAATTACTGAATGAGTTGAACATTCAGCATATACGTTTCTCAGAATTTGTTGAGAGAAGTGAAAAAGTGATTTTTCTGTTACCAACAGAGAAGCACCCTTATTTCTGTGGCCGACTGGGAAGCAGAAAGCAGCCATATATGGGCTGAAATTCTCCAAAGAATGTGAAATAAATAGATATCTCAGAAGAAGGCTCCACAGGGTCTCATGAGCGCAGCAGTTTAGGAGGGAGAGGAGTCTATTTCCAGCTCAAGAAATAGTTAGCACCACAGGACTTGTTTATTTAGCGTGGAGAAAAGACTAAGAGGAGTGAGTTCTTAAAATAATAATTTCTCTCTTTGTAAAACAGTATAACAACAAAATTGTGGTCGTGGATTAAAGACATTAACTTTCTGTTGGGAATTGGTGTTTGTTTTGGTAAGGTTGGTTTGGGGGAAGGAGAGTAGCTTTTCTGTTTTGTGCGTGCTGACCCAGGTGCACGGTGCACTTGGTGGCACGGGTTTGGCTTGTGGAGGTAGGCAGGGGTGGGCACTGTACAACTGACTCCTTATGAGAGCTATTGAAGCCCCATCTGCCGGGTTGGTAAGCATGAGGAGCAAGAACGAGGTGGCAGAAACACGAACGCCCGATGCGCCCCGTGGCGTGGGGCCGTTTGGCATGGAGACGGCTCTGTTCAGGAGTTACTGCCAGGCTTAGAGGTCAGCTGTGAAACTGCAGGTTGCCCATTTGACTCCCTTCCCATGGCCATGGAAATCCGGGATCTTGTGGGGTGGGATGTCCAACCCTTGTGCTCAGAAACCTGAAAGTGTTACTGAATGCGGTGGCTGTACTCCAGGTGTATTTTGCTGGCAACAGCTGTAGGAGAAGACACCTGAATAGAGCAAGGGCAGTAGCCAGGCAGCTTAGGACATTGACTTCTGGAAGGTATACAGCAATAGCCCACTTCAGAGTTGCCCAGGGACTAGACTTGGAAATGCTATAAAATCTGGAAGACGACCAGATTTTTCCAGTACGTGGGAAGTCTAACTGCAGGCTGGACATGAGTGCCCTGAACAGCACCTGACGTCCTTGAGAGCATTTCAGGCGAAGGGAGGGAAAGCGAGGTCTCTCCTACTTGCCTGTCTTCCGTACTGTGTGTAGTCATCATGAACAGATCATCTACCTTCTTTGGCAAAGACCCTACAAGGATAATCCAGATTTCCCTTCCTGTCACTTTCTAGAAACTGTACCCAAAAAGGTAACAAACGATGAGGGGGAACCACTGTTTTTCTAGGTCTTGGAGAGACTTAAATCAGCCCTGATGACTTCCTGTTGTAGCAGTTATAAGTGCTAAAAGAATTATTTATATTTGCCTCATTGCATCTGTTGTAATGATTGTGGGTAAGTGGAGAATAAGGACATCCATCAGGAAGTAAGAAAATGAATGTGCTTTCAAAATTTTCCCTGTACGCTTTTATTCTTTTTTAAAGTCAAGTTTTTAAACAAAAGTAGTCAAAGGTCTTTCTGTAGGAATGTCTTTGTTAATAACTTTTAAAATTTATTTTTCAAATCTAGATCATTGACAAGGAGATTAATCCCTTTGTGGACAAGTGGGAAGAAGAAGGACAGTTCCCAGCACATAAAGTATTTAAAACCCTGGGACAGGCTGGATTCCTTGGTGTGGATAAGCCAACAGGTAGGAGAATATGTAACTCCTGAGTATTGATGTTGACAGTGATAGACTCATTACATTATTTCAAGTGGCTTTTGCCCCATATCAAAACATGGTTTGGAATTCAATGCAAAGTTTACCTATACTCCTCAGTCACAGGCATGCTGGTTACCAGCTGCGCAAGTACAGAAAATAATGTTGCTGAGTGCTCAAGTTCATATTCTTCTAAATATAAATGTTAAAAACCTGTGTGACTATTATTTTAAAGTCAGTGAAGTAAATGTCACTTTAATTTTCAACATACAATCTGTATAATGACTTTTCTTCTGGATCTGGACACATATGAAATAATCTTCATTAAAGAAACCACAATTTGTAGGCATTGAAAGTATTGTAAGATTTGGCCTGTTTTATTTCCTTAATCTGTAACCTCTCCATCATTGTAATGTATTCTGTCTCGCCATTCAGAGGACGAGGTTTGTGTGGATTTTAGGCCGTTATATCCCAGACTGTCTTTAAAATCCACTATTCCAGCCCACAGAAGCATGTACAGAACAAGAAACTAATGATACACACAGCAAGGACAGAGCAATTTTCATGTGTACACTTATATACTGGTGAGGAAAAAAGTCAGGAAGTTCAGAGGAATAGGAGGCATTTCTGTTCTTCAGCCAAAATACATATTCCCCTAGTTTTTTGTTTGTGTGTGATGTAATACATACTTGTTTTCTTTTCAAGTGCTGTTGTTACATGTTCCAGTCAGAATTCTCTGGGGTTTTTTTCCCCCATTTTCTTATTCATGGTTAAAAAGTTTAAAACAAAAGTAAGTTTGAATAGGCAAACCTTTTAGCAGTCCTGGTGAAGTCAGAGCAGCCCAAAGTGACAATGTTTGAACAGTTAACTGCAGATAATCGTCTGTACGGAGCAGCTCACACAACCTTAGCTATGCCACGCCACATCATTAAGTTGCTAAGGGACAGGGTTTGAACTGTGGAACAAATTATGTCTTTTTACCACTTTCAGAGGAAGTTTTCCCTCTTGAAATGAACTTTCATATTCTTACATATTCCAACGAGGAAGGTTTTTTCTTTCTAGCTGTTCAGCTGTTGGAGCTTGCAGAACTGTTTAGCTGTGACTGTCTGACAAATCCAATTAGGTCTGAGCTGGAATTCTTTACAAAAATGCTGACAGTTTGAAATTATACTTAAGATCTATTTAAAGGACAAATAGGATTACTGGGGGAGGGAGAAAACCACCTCTACCTTTTGCTATAATTGTTTGATAGGCAGATTTGAAATCTGTCTCAGTGGGATCTTCTTCACACTGCTAATATTCATGTTGGTTGTAATAATGGTTGCGTTGCTGCCCGATTACAGCCACATCTTGTTATATGTGTCTCAGGGCATGCAGAGGCCTTGGCTGGGGTAGAGAACCTCAATCCTGAGCATGCAGCACATAAAACGTTGCATAATAATTACAACAGCTAGGACAAGAAATAATGTGAGTGAAATCTAGTGAAGAAGGGACTTGTAGAGGCACAGATGAGCACAGAAGGCTGCAAGCACTGACTATGCTTGTTATACTCGTGACTAAGAATATTTTAGCCTTGGCTTTGATACTTGTTAATCTAATTGTTGGGCCTCTGCAGCTGCATTTTATAAAAGCTATAAAAAAATGGATAAAATTCTCAGTGACACCCGGTCCTTCTGAGTTCATCTTTTGGAGCAAGGTATTGTTTGGTGCAGAAAATGCACCAACTCCCTGTAAGATGCTGCCTTTGCAGCATTCAGTTGTGCAGCAGACTGTCACCAGATCCAGCTTTGCTCTGCAGTGGTGTAGTAACGCCAGGCATGTCCTGAAAGTACTGAAACCTTCTCGTGATGGTAAGTGAAAGAGTCAGATGTGTAACAGCGCAGTCTCAGCAGCAGGACTTTGGCAAAGCCTGAAATTCTTCATCCTTCTACAAAGTGCTTATGCTTGTTGTGATTGTGATTAGTGTGTACTGGTAGTAGTAATTAAAAAATAATAATAAAAAATTAAAACCTATAGCTTTTATACTCTGCTCAGCCACTTCTACTGTTTAACTGCTGTGTGCAGAGGAAGAGAGATCTTAAGAGATGGGAGTTTTGGGGGGATGTTGGGAGAGGTCTGGAGAAGAGAGGTTAATTGATTTGAGGAGAGCATTCATGACACAGCCATTGAGTAACAACCTGCCCTACTTTCTCTTTCCAGCACAAACCAAAACTATAATTAGCATATTGTATCCCTTCAAACCCAGATCATAAGCACTCTGTTTAAAGAAGACTAAGTTTTTCAAGTGAATTCACTTTATTAGCAACCGCAATTTTGAAATGTAAGTTTTTCTGATTTTGTTTTCCAGGGTTGTTCTGTCGAGTACAGTTAGTGAGTTTTTTGGGGGGTGTTTTGGTTTTGGTTTGTTTATTTTTTATTTTTTTTTCCTGTAGAATTAATTTTGGAGCTTTCTGATTGGGCAGAAACAAGTCACACACTTGTTTTGCTTAGATAGAAGGAAACATCTGTTGGATTTCAGATTTGTTGAAACTGGACTTTTTCCTGTGTAAACACCATTCCCTTTATGAACAATGAGCTGCTTAATGGGAGTCATGTTTTAAGAAGAATGTCCTTACATGTGTCGCTTATCATTGGAACTTTGTGTGGAGAACTGATTTGGGGCACTATTTGTATTACAAAGGCTCCATCAGTTCCCACCATATGCAGTTGTGGGCTACGAACTTGTCAGGGTTTTTCCTCTATATTTTTTTCCACAGTTGTTTATGCTTGTGCAGAATATTTGCTGTAGTACAGTAGTTCAGGATGTTAGTTGGAGGGGTCATGTAAACACTGTGGGCAAGGCCCAGCCATGCACCCATAATTGGAGAATCCTTAAGATGATACGGGGGTTTAACTTACAACACTGTCTGGTCAGTCCTCTGCCAGAGGAAGATTTTTCTCTTTGAACTGTTTCTCTGCTCTGGTATTATTTACACGTCTCAAAAATAGTGCATATACTGGTTTTCCTTGGGCAAAAGTGTGTGTTATTCTGTTATAATAAGAAATTCTTTCTACTAGTAAAATGCATGCTGAAAAAGTGAACGTTATTTATGCATAAAAAGTGCCTTTTTGCTCTATGCAAAATGTGTTTTACAGAATCACTCAGTTCAGCCTGAAGTATTTAGTTTGAGGGGAAAAAAACCCCAACATCTCTATATACTTATTATTCTTCATTTATGTTTACTGTGTGTTTCTCCTCAAATTATAAAGTTTCTAGGCTGTTGAGGTGCTGACAGTCCCAAAACTAAGGGCAGAAAATATTAGGGTAGGCAGCAAAAATATTTTAAATGTTAGAGTAGACAGCAAAAATATTTTAAACAGTCTTCATAGCTGGCCATTGTCTGTTTTGCTAAGGGAAGTGGGTAAGACATATTCTTTGGAGTGTTTTATGTGCAGGTTAGATGAGAGATTGGAGTAAAAGCTGAAAAGATCTATGCGGTCACTTGTGATCTTATGGCTTATGAATCACAGCCTTGGCTGTTGCTAAATTTTAGGATGTGTTGCCAAAGACACAGGCTCAAAATGTACTGTTACGTGCCCGCGTATGCTGACGCAGTTGATTAAAAGTTGTTTTTATCAGCTGATGCAAAAGTACAGGAATCCTCCTGTAAAGGCTCAGGGAAAGCAAAAAGGAGGGAAGAGAAAGCTTTGTAAGAGGGCAGAGTCTGCTGTCCTGCATATTCACATAACATCACTGTGAGACATGAGCAATGAAATACCCACAGCGGGCATCGTCGTAGGAATATTTAGCAGAATGCATTAGCTTGTAGAAATAATTATGACAGGCGTGTCCAAATAGTAGCCTTCATTTATTTCTGTCAAACGCTTAGCAATGCACTTGCAGAAATATATTCTTAAATATATCAGGAAAATGAGGAAACTATGTGGTAAGACTTGTGCATGGATGGCAAAGTATAGTTTCACGCTGTCTCCTTCCCCTGCTGCTGGGATATATGCTGGAGGACTGGAGAAAGTAATAAACAGTATGTTCTTGTCACTTGAGACAGATAAGCATCTGATGAAACAAAACAAATGTTTCCAATGATTGATTGTACTGCAATTGGAAAATGCTGCAATATCTTTCCTTAAGAAAGCCTGTTTATTCCACATGTCTGCGTGTTGAACGTGGGAATATAGATCTAGACTATCTTCTAAGGTTAATTTTGTTGCTTTCTTCACAAGTATATGTTTCTCTGGTGAAATGAGACCTTATGAGAGTTTGGTCTTTCTTTTATTCTTTTTCCCTTTATGTATTACTAAGTCTTATTATTACACAGAATGAGCAAAAGAAGGACCTGAGAGGAGCAGTGAATTCAGTTACTAGAAAGGAACTTAGTAGTTCAGGTTTTATGGCCTCTGAGGGAGTAACTGAAACGAACTTTTTCAGATGTATCTATGAATAGAAGCTAAAAGGGATATATTTGGCAGAAGAGAATTCATTTGCCCAGAACTGTTTCCGTATGGTAGGAGTGGATCAGCTGCAATGCTTGTGCTTGGTTTAGTAGATTTAAGCATAGCCAGCTGAACTAGTTGTTTGGTCTCTCTTGCTTACAAAGGAGTGCAGCTGTAGTTAGTTACTAATAGTTGCACTCTAAAAGTTTGAGAGAAGCCATTACACCACATTTTCAGGTACCAATGACCCGGTAAAGCTGCACTCTAAAATGTTTACCAGCTATGAGATATACCTGGTTTGCAATCAAGAAATAACCTCGATAAGCCTCTGAAAAGACAATAGACCAAAATTAGTCAGTGTTTTGTTTGAATCAAATTGATGACAAAGTTAGTGATGGATGACAGTGATTTGGAGACCTCAATCAGATAAGTAGAAGAAATTTCAGGTGCTTATCTGACCTTCTTAATTTGGTGGATTGGAATGAAATCTCGGGAAAATAGGTTTTTGTATGCGTAGAAACAAGTTCTGTGTGGGTGAGACTTTTTTTCCTCCTCTCTTG